ACATATGCACCTTTATATATATATGTATATATATATATATATATATATATATATTTGGAGGCGCCGCCTACGTTGATTAATGGTCTGCGCTTTAAAGTGCATATAAATCAAATGAAATGAAATTTATATATACATATATACAAATATATATATAAATATATATATACATATATATATATATAAAGATATTCTATAAGGATGTATAATTAAAATGTCATATGCGTCGCGTTGAGATCGCACGGTCAACTCTTTAGCACCATTAACAAAAGCTTTGGCCGTCTGCCTTCAGTGTCCTTCGTTGCCTTCTTTGTTCGACCGCACTTAATCCTACGGCGCGAGGTTGGCTGGAGCGAAGGGAGGGGGCAGTGGTGGGGGAGGGGGAGGGGGGTGGTCACTGCACAAAAGCCAAAGAACGAAACGTATTGCATTTTGCGATAAATTCGCAGCGCATTAAACGGAATCGTCGGAGACCGTGTAAGGGAATCAGTAAGTGGAATGACGAGGAGCAGAGCGATGTGAATGGGGATGGCGATGGGGAGAGTGGAAGGGGAAGGGGGGGGGGGGGGCGCATGCTGACTGACCACCAACAATGCGCGCCGAGCATTCGGAAATTCTGTGCGCTTGGCACACAAACACAATGATAGAAAATCGAAATCGAAACGCTGCAAAAATCGCTTGCTCAAGAATGTCAATAAAGGCAGCGCCGATGGCTGCGACGTCAGCAGCGACGTTAACTGTGCAGCCAAAGGCTCTGCTCTGCTCGGCTCTGCTCTGCTCTCCGTTTGTCTTTAATGACGTTGTGTGTCCTGACAATATAACGGCACTTGCTGTTCTGTTGTCTTCATTTTGGTCGAGAGCATGAGAATCGGCTGTGGACGCTTTCATAACGCTGCAGCCGCTGCACAGTGGAACTGAAACGTCATCATAAACTTATCAGAAATTCTTGACAAATTAATCAATATATTTTAAAAGTTGCTAATTTTGATATTTATTTATTGTTATTTTAGAGCGCTAATGCTAATTGTTATTTTTTTTTAATATTTATATGAATATTAAAATAATATTGACCTGGAGCCAGCAAAAAGAGAAAGTCTATTTAAATTATACAAAAATGTGACTAAACGATGAATAAATTTAAACTTTGAAATCTAAGGATAAAAACGTAATCAGCTCTTTGATTGAAAATCGTTGCAGTTGTGATTCAGATTCAAAGATTCAGGCAGATAGTGGGTCGAAGGAACTGTGTAGTTTGAACCACTGTGCAAACCATGCTGGGTTCACATTGATAAGAAGCACTCGTCTTGCAATTGACATCTTTAAAGTGAACAACATTATATATTTGCTTTTATTTACAATACATATTTATTTTCGGGGCAGAAGAAGAGCCTTCATTTTTCCTTACATAAGATGAGGCAACTTCACAGATGCTCTTTGCAACAGACAATTATTTACATGGACTCGCATTTGTGGTAGCTTCTTGTTTTTGTTGTTGTTGCTTGATATCGCCTTACGACTTGCGGTTGCTGCATGCAACAGCTGCGATTGGAGTCGCCACAAGTGCTGGGCAAATGTATGTGGCAGAGCTCGCTTTTGTGTATCTTTTGCATCTTTGGCATATGTGGCAACTCTCGCCTTGCAGCCAGTCAGACAGCCAGACAGCCAGCCAGCCAGCAAAGTCATCTATTGTGGCCTGTTTGACTTTTGTGCATTACGTAAGCGTGACTCTCAACTGCGCAACTGTGCCACACACGCGCTCTTTGAATGATTGCCGAACACAACTACTGTGCGTGTGTATGTGTGTGTGTGTGTGTGTGTGTGTGTGTGTGCTGGTGTGTGTGTGAAATGGGAATCAAGTGCATCGCTCTGTTTGACACTTGCAGGCTGTCAGCGCGGCTCTGATTGATCGATTGAATTTGTGTATGTGAATGCGTGTGTGGGTGGGAGAGGTAGCCACAATGATTAACTGGGCCAAAACAAACATTTTAGAAACCCATAAAGTGAGGTGTATGATTTCAGCTGTTCACAGTGTGATTAGCCACAAAATATTGCGCAATAAATCAGCTGTTAAATGTGTTGGAGAGATCTGACTCACAGCTAAAAATAAAATCATTTAAGAATTCATTATTGGAGTATGCAAGAAAGAAATTATTTATTTAATTTCATTTGTAACTTTCACTACTTTTAGTCCACATTAAAATCGTAAAAAAAAGATTAATAAACATCAATTATTGTGTTTGTTCAACTAAAATTATAAACTTATTTCTTTTAGGAATATTTATTATTTATGTCAACTATGGACTTTGTCTTGCGAGTACAACATATGCATCCCACTCCAAAACTATCTTTATAATATTTATAGATAATAAGGGACACTTGGCTCAAATCTGAGCCGCAGACAGGTCAACTGGCGGCACTCCCCTTTCGTTTAGGCTGATTGATGATCGGCTCTTTTAAAGCTAACCAGCTAAAGGGCTAAATAGTAACTGTTTTTCTATTATTATCAACATAAAAAGTGTTGTAACATTTTCCTTATCTGCCGCTATTGAAAGTTCCAATGTAATAGGAATTATCTAACAATTGTGATAGCAACAGCCAAGTTGTGAGCCAACTTTAAAGTTCGCTTAACAATCTGCCATTCTGACCTCAATCGCAGCATAGAAAAATTGGCGCGACATGCGCCAGAAGAAGGAATTAATTGAAATTTATTGTCTCAATTTATAATGCTGCAAATTGAGCGTTAGGCCAAAAATACTCGTTGAGCAGAGTTCAATGTATCTTTCAGATACTCCCAGCTTCAATTCCATTTCCATTTCCACACCCAGTCAGATACTCATTGAACTTGAACTTGAAGTCGCTGCCCAATTGTTTGCCAAAGTCAAAGTTTTCATATGCCCGGCTTCCAACTAACTTATGCAATAGTTATTACTAACTTTGCCGTCATATAAGTTTAAAGTTTGCTTCTTCCTCTTCTTTTTGCTGTTGTTGTTTAGATGTGCCTCTTAACTCGTTAGATTCGAACTTTGGGTTTGCAGCCGGCAAATTGAGTGCACACAGTTTGGCCCGGCAGACGTTTGTCATTTGTCTGCTGTCATGTCAGTTGTCAGTTTGATTTTGACTTTTTCTCTTTTTCCCATTTTTTTTTTTGTATTTTGCTTTTGGTATTTTTTTTTTTTAAATTGTAACAACTGCTATGACGACGGCAATGGCGATGACGCTTGACGCTGGACTGTGACAATATATATATATATATATATATATATATATATATACATATATATATGTATGTAATATCAAATGTTATACGACAAAACAAAAGACAAATTGTGCGCGTGTTGACAATTTTTTATAGATTTTTCTCTTCACAACATGTGCAATTTGGGAGCGGGGCATGTCAACTATGTGCTTAGGTGTGGCACAGCTCAAATATTAAATATTATAATTATTATTATTCATTATTCATGCACTACGACCTAGTTAGATTGACATCATTGAGCCTATATTCAAGAATATAGCATTCAAGAATTTTTGTCTGGCTGAGGGCTTCTATGTTCTCCGAGCTTTAGAGACATCGGCAGATTCCGCCACACATTGTACCTAGTTTTGTTAGACATTTTGTAATCAAGGTTAATCTAAATCTCACCTAAGTCTCTTCTTATCAATGGATATTACTGGCTTAAATCGTTTATAATTATAGCTGCCTACAATCTCCACACAAAGCGACTATCGCAGATGTTTTTCTTAATTCTCAGCAGCTCTAATATTAGATTATATTTTTTCTATCGAGTTTAATATTTTCTTGGATATTTTCTCAATAATTGATGCATGGTATATTATTTATGTCTTGGTGTTTCTAAAATATAGATAGATCAAGTAAGCATATGTAACTTTGTATTACTCAACGCCAACTTGCTGTATTTATTTAATAAACAATTTCAGAAACTGAGTGAATTGGGACCAGATACTACACTTATTATGCATAGTGATAATATTTGTGTGCATTTCTAGAATTTCATTTATTTTCATAGAGGGTAACTCGAAAGTGAATAGTTTTCTAGCATTATGATTGGTTTCGTATATTTTGTGTTTGACATACGAGCTGTGCTCCATTTTTACAGCAGTTGACGTCTGAGCACTTTATCTTAATGTCAATTCTCTATTTTGTAGCCAATGCCTTGACTTCAGTTTGGGAGTTCTTTGTTTTTATTTTTTTGGATTTCGTTTTGTGTGCGTGAAGCAGTTAAAAACGTTCAAGCAAATGAACAATAAAAAAGCCATTTGTAAGTCGCAGTTTGGGCCACGTTTCTTGCTCATTTGGAGTTGTCAAAATCACGAAGTCGACGTCGTTAATGGCGCCCAGAACTTAGCCTATAGATAAACTGGCGCTAGGATTTAGATTAACATTTACATTTACATTTACATTTATATTAGGCGGCTTTTAGGCTTTTAGCCGTGACTCATCTAACTGTAATCGTAGCCATAGAACGAGCAACTGCATTGGCTTGTTATTTAATTTTTTTTTATTATACAAGTGATTAATTTCATTTATACTTAAAATTATACAACAGTCTGTGTTTACATATAGAATTACAAATACCCAAGTAACTTGTGCTAAATGTTTGTTCTTAAAAGTATACTTAATTTAAGTTAGTATCCATTTATATCTTTTGTTTAGATTGCAGATAAATTTGAAATACAAATGATTGTGTGAAGGGCATGGAAAAATGTACTATAATTATTATAAATAACCGATGTCTGTTGTAGAAATGATATAAATAAAGATTCAATTTCAATACAAATTTATTTATTACTGTTTTATGTTAGTGAAATTGAGTCGAAAAATACTTTAAAGTATAGGCCAATTACTGTTTTAGATTTTATCGAACATTTTAAACTGGCTGTTGACCGAGTAGTTTCATATCAGCACATTGTATTGCAAAGCTTTTATTTACTCTTGATGCGTCCTTCCTTTGACTCGTTTGATTCCTTGCCGTTTGTTGCAGTACGACAACGTGAATTCCTGTCTGCACGTGCTGCGGAGTCAATCGGTTGGCGGTTTGGACAACATCACAACGAATGACATCTGCGCGGGTCGCCTGAAGGCTGTCCTCGCCCTCTTCTTCGCCCTCAGTCGCTACAAGCAGCAGGCGAAGCAAACCAAGTCCATTGGCGTCGGTTGCGGTGGTGCGGCGAGTACTGTTGGCGCAACTGCTGCTCCTGGTGGTGGCGGTGGTTCTGTTCTTGGTATTGGACTTGGCGGCAGCCTGAGAGCGTCTGTTGCTAGCAATCTGCTAGACAAGCATCAACAGGAAAAGCAACAACAGCAACTGCTGCAGCAGCAACAACAACAGCAACAAACGCCACAACAGTTGGCCCAGTCACTGGAAAACGGCAATGAGATGGTGAATCGGTAAGTCAATATATATTATACATATTTCAGCTACAATTGTTGCTCATATACATATTTCAAATACAAAATTTATTAATTATAATTATAAAATGACTGATGTTTAAAAATTAACTGCCGTAGTGCCAGTGCCAGCGCAGTGAGCTTTTGTCTCGCTGCACTTGATTTAGGTCTTTGCTACGGCTTGTGTCAATGCTATTCAACTTGACGAAATGTGTGCTGCTAACAAAGTTGAATTTACTAAAAATACTCGATGGTGTGTGTCTCGGCTTAGAACGACATACTTAACGAAACGTCAGTTAACAGAGCTGTTGAGTTGGAAACATATATGTTCGATTGACTGTTATATGTTAATTTAGCTTGGTCATGTTGGCTTAACAGATGCTGGAATTGGAATATGAATGTTAAATTTTCTGCTTGGATTAATTATTACAGCTAGAACAATAATTCATAAGTCTGCTTATAAGCGTTACAATAAATATATATATTTATTTAAGTAAAATCTACACATGTGGAGCGTTCTGATTTAGAATCGCTTGGGCAAATATTATTTGTTTTATGTTTGTTATATTCATGAATTAATAATCCTTAATTAAAAGATTTCAAAATACGAAATGTTACAAAACATATAAATTTTCTCAAAAATAAAACTTTTCCTTACAATTTTTAAATCTGTAAGTTTTTAATTCTTAACGAAACTCACCAAATATGATTGCAACATTGAACTTTTATCTCATATTGTTCTAACTGCTCTTTCGAAGTTAATTCAGTTGGGTATGCAGCATTATAAGTTCCAAGCCACTCCATTTTGAGTTTTTACCACGCATTCCATCAATATTTCAAAACCTTGGCCCAAAGTTAGAGGCAAGCACTGGTTCCCTCTTCCCTCTTCCCATTCCATACTACATCTGCCCCATAGCAATGTGTGTAGGTATGTGCCCCAAACAGAGCTCATATCAATGTGTCTGTCTTTGATTTCCTTTGCATTTCTCTTACACCGTCATAAGACTTCCGGTACGCAGCTTTTATTCGCATTTCTGTTTTTTTTCAGTTTGCGCTACGAAATTCCAAGCAAGTTTAATATGATTTATTGGTTTGTTTGCCGGAAATTACAGGCGATTCACTCGACGGGGTGTGGGGCTTCTATCCTCCTCCCCCAGGACATCTGTTGTTGCTCCCCAAGTCGTAAAAAATGCGGCCCAACTACGCCAAGCCCTAAGATGAAGCCAAGACGCTAAGCAAACACAATTGGCATACTACGCGAGAGTGGAGCGGAGCGGAGACAGAATCTGGTTTTGCTGGAGAGCTCTTGAAAAGCAGCTGAAAAATTCAAAACATGAGAATGGAAAATTAGAAAACTTTATTTGCCGAAAAGTCGAAAGCCAAAAACGTTTGTCGTCTGCAGCGAGTTTGGGGTTTTCTTGTGTGCTTGCAACCCTCGGGGAAATCCTAGCAGTAGACAGGAAACGGAAGCTTTTCTGCTGCGCTTACCCAACCAAAAAACGAGGGGACCAGAAAGAGAGAGAGAGAGAGAGAGAGAGGAAGAGAGGGGATGCAGGCCAGTCACCGTTTAACTCTCGTTTCTCTCCCCTCCCTGCCGATTGTTGGCAATGTGTTGATGACTTTCACTGACTATGAAATTTAAATGCGTAACGGAAATGTTTGCATATTTTTTGTGTGCCTTGGCGCTGTTTTGGGGCAAGGGGCGTTCTGTGTTGACTAGCAGACAAATAAATTACATTGGATTTTTATGGTCGTCCTTGCGCCTAGTTTGTGGTAGGCAACTGGGGACAGGGGACAAAGGACAAAGGACAGAGGACAGAGACAGACGACCAGCAGCACGACGATAACAATGCGGCAAGTTCATTTGAAGTTGCAACGCCATAAAACTTTCACTGCAAACAGACTAAAGCGCCCTCTATATATGCTTTAATACCCTATATTCGATGGAGATTGGTAAGGGAATTTCATAAGGATTGCGATAAGGATTCATTTACAGCTCCCCTTTAGCACTGTAATGTGTAGAAGATTCTAAGAGTTCGTATTTTAAACTTAGATGAAGTTTCTTAACTCAACTTTTTAATAACCCTCTCTGATTCTTTATACATGTGTTCAGTAGATCGTTAGGATTATAATTTTTTCAATTATAAAAACTACCACCAGCTACTCGAAAAAGTGTTTTATCTTTATATTCACTCCCACAGATTGGGTAAAATATATTAACAAGTCAAGTCCGAGTTTTTATATGTCTTCACTTGTGGTTCAGTTGAAGAAACAGGGTATCTGCTAGTCAGGCACCCCACGCGAAAGCATTCTTACTGTGGGGTTATGCTACTATGCGTTGTTTATAATGTCTGCGGTCTGGCGACCTAGACACTGAAACCGAGAGCTGTCCAGCCTGGCTCGCTTGGGGGCCTTGGAGGAAGAGCAGCTGTGGCAAAGCAACCCCCAAAAATACACAATGCGTACTCTTAGTGAAATTCGCGTTTCCCTGAAGTGGGCGGAGTGGAGCTGCTAGGACAGGATGTAAGGGAAGGGAGTGTGGGTAGGCAGTCGTATATTAGAAATTCAAAAGCATTTTAACGACAGCAGCTGGTGCACATTTCAAGTTAAAGTTGTCTCGTGGCAGACTTTCAGGGACAATTCACAAGTTTTCAGTACCTGACACTGATTTAGCCGCTGTTGCCACTTGGCACTTGCTGCTGCCAACATGTTGCGCTCCCTTATGCATATAATTAAAAACTGTAAGGAGGCAGGTCTTGTTTTAAGACTTCAACAGCAGCTGATGACATTTGCAACCCCAAAAGGCACGATACTTCAGGCTGGAGCCATTTATAACAGCAAATTGCTCAGCAGACATAGCCACAATGTGTGCTCCCGAATATACACTGCACATTTACAGCGAGCCGGTGGAGCCGGTGAGGGGGAGTGGCAGTTTAATGGTAACTGCTGAGTAACCCCCAAGATGTTCACATAATTGACAGCTGCTGTTGAGGGTCACAAATTCCAATGCATGCGTGCCCAACTGAAGCTGAGCCAAATCCAAATGTCCCTTTTTAGAGGGGAGCTGCTTGGAGTGGGTGGTAGGTAAGCCATCCACGTGTGTCCTCACTTAATTCGAATGCATTTATGCGTGACCAGGCACAGGACGATGTCTAGCTAAAGAAGGAGAGAGAGAGAGAGAGAGAGAGAGAGAGGGAGACAATGCTGTCGTCCTGGCGACCAGGATTTCTGTAGAGAACCGGGACCACAATTGACAACTTGTCCGCCCCGCTTGTGTTGTCTGGCTTAACTTTTGTTGTCCTGCGGGCAAATTTCTGTTTGTTTTTTTCCAACAGACTGAGAGAGTTTTCCTATGAGTTGAATTTATAATTCCATTTGTGGTTTTAATTTTGTAAATGTGAAATTAATTTTATTCAATTTGTGTGCAATCGAGGGTTGCCAGTCCTGCAACTCATTGCTAACTGGATTGGGTGCGCTTCACGCTTCATTGACGCTCGATTGTGGGGACTAAGCGCAAATTGGCTTAGATCAAAGTGCTAAAGGGGTAATTGGGCGCCAAAGCGATTAACACAGCTGACAACAGATACAAAGGTCTTTTAGTGAGAGTTAGTCATGGGATTACTTTGCCTACGCGCCGCCAACGAACTGCGTCTTGACTCATCCAGCATGGTCTCGACCAGCAACTCATCTCGGGAATTCAATGCCGATACGAATATATCACGAGTGGCACGATAATTGCCACAATTGTACAAATGCTCGTTCTCCAATCGCAGAAAATTCCAGATGAATCTCCGTGCAATCTCACAAATGCTGGTCAGCGTCTTGCAATTGTAGGGCAATAGTATATTATAGTGAATCATGTATAGCTCAAAAACCCAAATGAAACGAATTGACAGATCCGCAATAATTGCAAAATAATAAAACATCTAAGGAATTTATATATATAGTCAGTGAAAGATATTTGTAGGCGTTTAGTTACTCGCACCTTGGGATAAATTAAACGCTTGCGTAGAAATATATTCGAACAATCGAACACTTTGAACAGTCCATAGTCCTGAATCAAATCCCACGCAGTGCAATATATGGTTGATATGAAAGAGCTTACCAGGTAGCACCAAGTCCAAGGATTTGCAAACAAATTCTCATAATTAGCTGACGATGAAGAGTTTACTTTAAATCAGACTGAAAAATCAGTTAATCGTCTTCGTTGACTAATAATATGAATACCCTCTATTATTAGCTTAGTTCAATTGAATACTCACCGTTTGTCTCCAATTGAATGGTTGAAAAGGTGACAACAATCAGCGTGGAGCCATAGGCAAAAGCATTCACCAGATAGGAAGTCGGCTTGGATTTGCTATCCCAATATCGTTTCAGGCATTGGGCCAAGCGGAACCAAGCAGGCAAGCAACGGAGAAAATAAACCACATAGTCTGGCTCAAAATCAAAGGTTTTAACGCTATTCAGTTGGTAACGAACATAGAAGCGAATTAGCTGATAGAAGTCCACAATGCACTGAACTAACGAAATCATTTGATCTGCCACAAAAAAGTCCGCAAAAGACACATAGCAGAAAGGAGCAACCAGAATCCGGCCAAAACTTCGTAGCACCCACATCCTGGCCGAGTAGTTCAAAATCCTGATGGGATTGATCAGCAGTGCCAGTGGCACCAGCAGTCCCACGAGTGGAAAGTACAGAGGATCCTTGACGCCGAACTCATCATGATGGATAAAAAACAGCATAGACAAAGTGCAAATGTATCCATAGAAACTAGCTGTGCTCAGCAGTTTGACAGGCACTGTCGGATTACGTGGATTCAGCTCAAAGATCAGCACGTGATTAATGCCCACGGTCTGCCAGACATGAAGATTGATCACAATGCCGAAGCCATACAGCATCAGGGAAAACGAGGCTCGATAGAGTCGTACGAACGTTGAAAGCAACTCCGGATTACTAAACAGGCTGTAGTCTGCGAAACAATGGTAGAAACGCAATAAATTAATTAATAATATGAAGTATATCCTCACTGCACTCACATGAAAAAAGGCAGACGACAGCTGAGACTATAAAAAGACCCAGCAAAACGCCAGCTGAGAAAATGTGGGTTGGCGATGTGGGTTGCCCCAGAGGAGGAACTCGCAGCTTTTCCATGGCCTTGCCACGATCACCTTTCGTTATATATTGCGTGTATATGTCCTCCACCTCGCCCATCATGTTGCTTAGGTCTACGCCGCTCTGACTGATGACTGCCGGCTCGAGATACTCATTAATCCAGTTATGCCCAGTCGAGCTCTTCAAGTATTTATCGAATTTTTCGCACAGCTTGTAGAAGCCCGTGTAGTTCAACTGCTGATAGTTGTTCAAGAGCACCAGGCTGAAGTAGAACTCGCTGTAGGCTCTTTCCAGTTTGCTCACATTTCGCGGCTGATCATCCAATGGGGGCAGACTAGGAATATTGCCCAGGTCACCGCCCACACGGTGCACATAAATGAACTTAACCTTAAAGGTGGCATGTTTGCGATATGCCTCGGCCATCTTGTGGTCAAAGAAATTATTTACTCGCCCCAACTCGGCAGTTAGAGTTGTAAAGAACTCGTCTCCAAACTCCAGACAGTACACAGCGTACAGGGATTTGTATCGCGGATCTGGCGCATTATCCGCAGCGTGCAGAATTTTTGCTTTGAGTTCCTAATTAATATTAATTAGAATTTTCGTTTTTAGTTGAAATTGATATACTAACCGCATAGTTGATATATTGCTTTCGCCATTCGCTAGTTAAGTGGCTCTCAAAAGTTTTGCCAAAGTTCATTTTGATAGTTTTTACAATGCTAGTTTTTTGTATTTATTTATTTTTATATGTATTATTAAAATGAGTTTAAAGTCAATAGCATAGATTTCACAATATTGAAAATAGTTTATATATTGTTGAAAATAAATTATTAAACGAATAACAAATTGCAATCTATGTAAAGAAAATCAATATAATGAAATCAATGTAAGTCTACTTAGTTATTTGTGTTGTGCATCCACTCTGTGTAAATCAGCTGTTCATATTTGATATTAAAACAAGTAAGTCGGCTGTACTCGAGTGAGCTCGACTACGACTTCCCAGAGGCCAGCTGTTGAATATATTTAGAATAGAACTATTGGCAAATTTCCCTTTATAATAAGTTTTGCACCCAAATGTGAGCAGGTCTGCAACTGCACTCATTTCTTATAGCATGCTCAGGCACTGAAGAGTAAACAAGTAAGAGTGCTCTAGTCGAGTGAAATCGACTACGATTTACCCTCAAGACAGTTGTTAAATATGTGTTGTTTGATTGGAAAATTTCCATTTAAAAGTTTTGCACCAAAATGTGAGCAGGTCTGCAAGCGTGCTCTGCCGACAAACACGTGCATATTCATACATACATACATATACACGTACAATACACACGAAGAAATATTGACAATTGCGTCGATTATCATGTCATCTCTTTCTCACACATGCGCTCGCATATTGATGCATACAGAAAGTACAATAGCTTGGGTCTTTCTCATCTGATCTTGATGAAATTTTGGCAGTTGATCAATAATGTGCATATGTATGTTATATATATATTCTGCCTTTAAAATTGTAGCATTTAAATGTATCGATAATCTAATAACGGAGGCAGTTATCGATAAAATAAATCAAGTAAAATTAAGCCTGGTACACGAGACCTGTATTCCAAATTGGAAGTCTCTAGTAGTCTCTTATAGTATCTGAGACCTGCGTGTTCATACAGACAGACGGACGGACGAACGGACATGGCTATATCGATTCGGCTGATCAAGAATATATATACTTAGTGGGGTCGGAGATGCTTCCTTCTGCCTGTTACATACATTTGTACAAACCATTATACTCATTTTACCCACTTTTAATGGGTTCAGGGTATAAACAAATACAGTTAAACATTTAATGTTCATTTTATAATTTTATTTTATGAATGCATATAAAGAAAATTCAATATAAATCCAGTTACGCTTTTGTAAGCTATAAACGTAAAACCCAAATGAATTTCGATTAATTTTCTCCGAATTCTAGAATTCCTTCTTACGCACATTGATTGGCGAACTATCACGTCTTTCGCTACTTTCCTCCGCGTTTAAGTTCAGTGGTGTGAGGAATATATCACGAGTGGCCCTAAAACTGCCGCAATTGAATAAGTGCTCGTTTTCAAGGCGCAGGAAATTCCAGAGGAACCTACGTGTAATTTCACACAAAGTGGCAATCGTCTTGCAATTGTAGGGTAACAAGATCTCATTGTATATCAAATACACCTCCAACATCCAAAAGCAACGGATTAAAATGTTCGCAACAATGACTAAATAATAAAACCACTAAGAAAACATAATAAGGTTAAAGAACGAAAGGTCGGAGTTTCCTTGAAGTCTCAATAATAACCTTGCGATATATTAGATTCTCGCGCAGTAAAAAATGTTCGCCTTTCCACACTTGAAATAAACCAAAATCCCATACCAAGTCCCAAGTTGTGGAATAAACGGTTGATATCAGTGAAATGATAAGATAACTCCAAATCCAGGGATTGTCAAACATGCTGACATAATTATCTGCAAATTAAATAACAAATATATGATTGAGCAGAGCTGTGGATTAACTTGAACCCACCATTCGATTCCATAACAATCGTGGAGCAAATGACGGCAGCAATACTAGTTGCATACTTGACTGCATTCAGGGGATAAGAAATGGGTCTATCGCTGCTATCCCAATAGCGTCTCATGCACTGGGCCAAACGGAACCCAGCCGGCAGGCAACGGATCACTGGAGCCGCACAGTCCGGCTCGAATTCAAAGGAACTGTCGCTGTTCGTATAGTAACGGAAATAGAATCGAATCAGATGATAACTGTCCACCAGGCAAAGTGACAGCGAGTTCATTTGATCGGCCAGCCAAAAGTCAGCGAAGCGCACATGAAAAAAGGGTGCAGTCAGAACCCTTCCCAAGCATCGTAGCATCCACACTCTTGCCGAATAGTTCATAATCCTAACGGGATTGATGAGAATCGCCAGAGGCAGCAGGAGGCAGACCAGTGGAAATGGATATGGATCATCAACGCCAAACTCATTGTGATGTAGGAACAATAGCATGGTCAAAGCACAAAGGTATCCCATTCCACCGGCTACCTCTAGAAAGGAGGTGGCTGGCATGTGCCTACGCAGGTCGACGTTGAAGATCAGGACGTGATTGATGCCCACATTCTGCCAGACATAGACATTGATGGCCAAATAGAAGCAGCACAGCACCCAGCAAAAGAGTCCGCGATAAAGTCGCCCAAATGGCATAAGTGTCTCCACTTCCTTGAACACAATCAAATAATAAACTGACAACGGGAAGAAATGCACAATATCAAAAAAGAGAAGATGATATACAGATGGATAGATCACAAGATTATATACTCCTTAAAATGATATAAAGTATTTGTCATAGTCAAAGTCAAGCGTTCCTTGGGCGACTTACATGAGATGATAACCATAATGGCACTGACAACAAACAGACCCAGCAGGACACCGGCCAGAAAGACCTGAGCTGGCGGGGAGGACCGACGCAGGGGTGGCACTCTCAACTTGGCCATGGCCTTGGCTCGATCTCCGTTTGTCAGATGGGTCGTGTAGAGTCTCTCCACCTCGACAATCATCGCCAGGAGCTCATCTTTGGATAATTCAGGCTCAACGACATTGTAGCGAAACCAGGAAGCACCTCTTTCGGATCGGATGTACTTGTCGTACTTCTTGCAAATCTTGCGAAAGGCCGTATAGTTGAGAGACCAGAAGTTCTGCAGCATTATCAGACTCAGATAGAACTCGCTGCAGGCCAGGCCCAAATGACGAGCAGTCGTCCCTCTAGCTGGACCCAGTTCCAAGATCAACTGAGCTCTTATGGCCTCCAGTTTGCGATGGGCCTCGGCCAGTTTCTGGGCGTAAAAGTCCATGACGCGGCTCAATTCCTGGTGACAGACCTCAAAGAAACGGCTCTCGAAATTCTGATAATACGAAATTACTTCGCTACTCGCCACGTAATCCTTCTCTCGAATATGTCGTAAATCTCTAGTAACTTTGGCGTCGGGCGCATTGACAACGGCTCGACGAATCATTTCATTAAGTTCCTGAATATTGTACGGTGATCAGATCAGATTGTTCATGATAGATATACGTGTATATAGTCAAGTACCGAATACTTCATGTATTGTTGACGCCACTCGGTTGTCAAATGACTCTCAAAGGTCTTGCCGAACTTCATTTCTGCTCAACTCAACGGCCTCAACTGGATATTTGCATTAAATCTTTCAGTTTCAATTGAAACTGACTTGCCTTTTTTTGTATGATGATAAAGACTACTTTGATTAAATGTTAATGTGTTTTATAAAAGAGCTTGTCATCGAAAATCAGTTTTAGTGTAGATATATATATGTTATTTATCATTACCGTAGATATATATATATGTTATATGCATATTCCTAACTCAGAAAGTGTCTTAAAGACCTCGAATGTAATAAAAGTTCGAAGTTATTTTATAGCTTAAATTAGGTAAATATTGTTATATTGTAATTTAAATATATTTTTCGACTGGCTCCAGGTCAATATCTATTTATTTATCAGTTGGCTGTGGAGTTTGAGACTCAGTTTCATTCAACAAACTATTATCATTTAATGCATATTAATTTTGCTTTACAAACACGTCTGCTGTCGAGTTTTGTTTTGACCATATTTCAGTGACTCAATGGGAAAACACAGTGAATACACTCCACCACCTTTATTCTTCTCTCTGCTCGGATTTGCCCATCCCCATTCAAGTCGCTATTGTCCAACAGCCCACGCAATGTTGCAACGTTTTTAACATTCCGTTCTCTATTAAATCATTCTTTTTTTTTTGTTTTTTGGTTATTTGACATTTTCGCTTTTGATTTTTTTTTTTTTTTTTTGTGGACAGTTGCTCGTTTCCGTGGCTTTTATCCTGCTGAAGCCTCAAGCCTCGGAGCGGGCTTTAATTTTAGTCTGTTTCTCTTCATATTTGCCCGTTTTCAAGTGCGGTGCGTGCCGCATTTTGAAGTGATGCCGTTTTTTGTCTATTATTATGAAATTTACAAGGGCTGGCTTAAGGGTTGATTTCGCAACTCTTTAAGTATGCAGAAAAAAGTACAAGAAGGTACAATCAGCTTCAAAATTCGATTCCAGATTCAGGCAGTTGAATTCAGTTCAGTTCAGTTAGTCATATTTCTAGTGACAAAGAAAGAAAATGGAGTTTTAGTTGGTGGATGTTGGGTTAGGAGGAGTTAGCGGGAGGGGGAGCAAAGGATCTACAAGAAAATGTCGTCTACAGGCATTGCAGGGGGTAGCTCAGCTAACCGTATATACACACACAACCCCCCCTCACACACACACACGCACACACACACACACACACACACACACACACACACACACACACACACACACACACACACACACACACACACACACACACACACCTCACCATCAGCATCATCAAAGCGACCATTCATCTCGGGCAACGTGAAAAATGTGAAACAATTGCAACGATGATTACTTTTTCCCCAGTTTGTTGTTGTTTTTCTTCGTGGAAAATGGTCGTAAAGGAAAATTGAATTGCCAGTGGGTGGTTAGCTGAAGTTTCTGTTTTTTTTTTTTTTTTTTGCCCATTGGGAGCATTTGGCTTAGGCCGAGAGTGGGAATGAGTAATAAAGAAACTCACCAAAACAGGTGAACCGAATTCATAATTATATGCTAAATACTCTAGTAATTAGCTCCCGCGGGAGTCGGAAGTTGATTATGCTTAGATGACTGGATCTTATCGTATTTTAAGCTCCTTAATCATTTTAGGGGGTGGCAACTAAACTTACTATGTGACAAAATTGGCAACATGTGCAAAATATACACAAACTCTCAGACTGCATTTTATTTCCGCTCGGATAAAAACGAGCTGCTGTCAGCATTTTAGATTCAATTCTTGATACCCTGTTATCAAAGAATGTTGTTAAATATTACCAACTTTTCAATTATTCAAAATATTATCCTTGAGATTGATATAAAGAATTGTCTTTGTAATTGTCATGTTGTTAAATTATAATTTAACCTATTTTTAACGCTTCTAAATATTTCTTTACAATCGACTCACAATTTCTAAAGGCATCATATGCTAAAATATAATATAGAGCATCTTTTAGTCGTAAGTACTCAACGAAAACATTGCTTTCAGTTTTACTGCCATAACGACAGAAGCAAATAAAAATATTTGCATAGACAAACCGTTGGACAATTGGACGAGACTAACGGCCAAGTGAACAGCCGGGTGTAGATTGGACGCGTTTAGAGGAGGGGTGTAGGAGAGGAGTATATAAAATGAAAAGTAAACATTGCAACATTCGCTGCCATTGAAATGATAAAGTGCGCCGTCTCTTCCAGTACGACAAAAGGCAATAAAATGCATGCTTAGTGCTTGCGAGGGGGTGCTGAAGTAAGGTGCGGGCTGGGGGGAGGATGGGGAGGGGGCGATTTAATGGCATTAGTAGTATATAGTAGTTTGGTAGGTGGCAGTGGAATCGATGTGGTCCAGTCGCTCTCGAAGCTGGAATTACATGTGTGTCCGTCTCGCATTTGTTTTCTTTCTTGTCTTTGTTTTTGCGTCTGTGGCATGTGAATTGCTGGAGCTGGAGCTAGAGTTGGAGCTGGAAAACCTTTCATGCTTTTTGGATTTGTATAAACAATGATTTATTGGCTCTAGCTCAGTTAGTGGGGTTGCACAGTTTCCAGCTTCAAAGTTGTTTTTTTTTTTTGCAAAAGTGAGGGAAAGTTTTTCGCTTAGCATACAAATAATTGAATATAACATAAATCTTAAGTTCCCTTAGCAACTGTCACAATATTTTTAATGTTTATTTGCATTTTACTGCCTATTAGGGATTTGTATATAATGTTTTCCAACTGTTTTTTTTATGCCCAATCGAATTTATTGAATGGAAAACGCAGCATTTATATAATGTGATCGATTTGCAATTTCTGTAGTTAGCTGCAGCATTTTAAGTTTCACAGGTTCAGTGTGCTTTTGAAATATTACACTATTGTCCTAAGAGTTATGCGGAACATCGATTACCACCCACTCTCAATTAAAACTCTCGCACTCCCAAGTTAATAACTCAGCAGCAACTGCGAGTAGTTTCGTCCAATTTCGATTGCCATATCACGCAAATTGCACTCGAATTTCGACAGGCGGGCAATAAACCTCCAAAAAACTTGAAAATCGGCCAAAAACACAAATTGCGCGCTCGACTCGAGCCCCAAAAGCGGCTTAAAAATGCTCAATTTAAACAAGTTTTTTTTTAAAGCAATCGAAGTGAGGTGAAGTTGACCCGTTCGAAACTAAAGCTGCAATGATTAAACAATTTTCTCGCCGATATTGTTGTTGTTGTCACAATCTGAGCGACATTTTATGTGAGAAAAGCAACAACAAATTAAAAAGAAGCAAATGAAGAAAATAATTTGCGATAATTGCTTAGTATGTTAAATTGCACCGATTTGTTCGCCAATAACTTTGGCCAACTTAATTGCACTTGTTGTTTGCCCCTTCTGAGCATTGAACTTCAGTTGTTTCACCGAACAGAGAGGGGGCAGCCGCAACTGTTTATACCCGGCACACCGACAAAACGACAGACAGTTGCAACCTGCACGTTGCAACCACCCCCATTTGCTCCATCCATTCATATGACGGGCAGCTGTGCGCATCGAACATGTTCGAACGAAGCCAAGCAAACAGTTCGGTTGCGTTCAACAACGTTCAGTGTTCGTTTAGTTTGCAATCGCATCGCGTCGAGTGCTGAACGCGGAACGGGTGTGCGCGTCAATTGCCGGCAAATTTTGATTTGATTTTGTTTATGTTTTTATGCACGGAGAAAAGGCGGCAAAAAACCCACAAATGTGTGAATCAAGTCTACATTTATGATGGTTCATTGTCAGTCACTTACAAATGTGCCAAATAGTCAATAAATCTGTGAAGTGAATGTATTACAAATAAATCTATATCTAATGTGCTATATTTAATCAAGTTTTTGTACATAACTGTTGCATATTGAATGGCGTTGCAGCTCCCAATTCATTCCCCTTTTAGATGTCTTTTTGTTTTTTGGCTGGCAGCATAATTATCGCCTTATCGCAGTGTATACAAATTAAAAGGCTTAAACCCAGACAAAAAGTGTTTGGCAGCAGACGTTCTCCATGGACCACAAGCCGACCAGTAGACAAATTCCATTTTAGATAAGCGCGTATTTTATTTATTTATATGCTGAAATACAGCAGACTTTAACAGGATTCGCTGTCCTGTGGGATTTGAACTTTAGACAAAAACAATGCTCAATTTTGTAGAATCTCGCAGAGCTTGAAATAGTCGCGAATTGTGAAAAGTTTCTGCTTTTTAAATACTTGAATATGTTAGACTTCCAACGTTGATGACCAAATGCATTTCATATAGAATTTCGTAATTTAAACTTTTAATAGCAGATGTTTCCTTCATTTCCCGTTTACACTTTCCATTTGGCTAGTTGCTAACTTTTGCCATTGTTGATTGTAGTTCACAGTTTACAAAGAAGTTAATTAAGAAGATTCTGAGTCTGAGTCAGAGAATAATGGACACAGACCGGCAATTAGATATGTCCGCACGTCAGGCGCAACCCATTTGATTTCTAGGCGCTAATCTTCAGTGTCATCGGCTCATCATCATCATCGTCATCATGAACATCATCAGCTGGCAGTGTTGCCACCTCTCCCGATTGGACTGTCAGATAGCTAACCGGTTTCTGTGGAGCATTCAACTGGCGCGTGTGCCTTCTATTAATCTTGTGTGATTGTGGCTCGAGCCAAAAATTTGCAGCTGGCTTTTGGAAACCTAATTTGATTCAAGTGGCAGCTGTGCCCCCAAAAAGGATTGAGAGTTGAGGAAGTCATCCTTGAGAGTTCGGGGCTAATTATCCGGATATCAGTAGAGTTGAACTGCATGCTCTGCTCAATTTTCAATTTAAAGCCTGCCAGTGACAACTGACAAGCTGTCAGATTCATCCAATTCCAGTTGAACTCGAACTTAAGCTTCTTCCTCTTCAAATAAGGGTGCATTGAACTGCGTGACAGCAACGAAAGCAACAATCCTACAATCACCGGCAGCAAATCAAAGTCTGCCGTCTGAAATTTGAGATATCAAAAAGCGAACTGTCAAAATACCAAAATGAAAATTCAATTGTGGCTTCGGCTCACAGAAAGAGGGAACCAGACAAGGTGGGGGGAATATTATTGAGTAC